TTTGCTGCAGCTCTTTTTTTTTTTTTTTAGTCCACTTAAGTGGCTCAAAAACACTTGACAATAACAGCTTCCGGCACATGCATTTCTAGTTTTAGCGAGTCCTTTCGAAAAAAATAAAAAATAAATAGCAGAGATGACATGAGAAAACATGTGCATTTCAAGCAGGTGTGTGTTCACAGTCAGACGCTGTTTGCCCAAGAGAGCGCAGTCGGTACACAGAGAGAGAGAAAGGAAGCCGGCCGAGTGCGTGACGTTTTACTCTGTGATGCTCGAGTGTATTACACAGGTCAACGCAAGTGAAATACAATCAGTCGGGTTTGCTGCTGGCTGCAGAGGCGGGTGTGCCGGGGTGATGTGCAGGGGCTAAATCTGAGCAGCCATGAGGTCATTAACAGGTTAGGGGGAGAAGAAAACCACCTTCTTTGGTGGCTCTTTTCATCTCTTGTGAAACACTGGATGGAGAGGTTACAGCCCCCAAGAGCAGCATCACGTTAAAGCCTCCGTAAACACATCATGATCCAGCCTGCCATTCATCAGAGTCACGACCGCTTCATTAAGATTGGCAGCGTCAGTCGGCATCGCACCATGACAACAAGCTGTAGTAAACATCAAGCCGCTGTGGACTGGCCTCTGAAGCAAGAATCCAGCATCAGAGGTTTTACATTAATCTGAGCTCAGTATGTGTGAGATGCATGGTGTTATGATCCAGCCTCTAGGGTCAGCTGGATGCAACAACAACAAACAGATGGAAGTGGTTCAGGCAAAGCAGTTAATTGTTTAGTAACGTAGATGAACTAGGGATGGGACTTTAACGCGTTTGTTAACAGGAAAATAACATGTTAAAGTCCCACCCGTAAGATACTTTAAAGCATTAATTACGACTAATTAATTACAACAAAAATAATGCGTTAAAAAATTAACGCATTTAATCGCAGTTTGCATCCAGGCAACACAGAACGTTTGTCAGCGCCCGATTTCATGGTCGACCTATCACAGTGATGCACAAGATGTATCAGCGCTACGCTAACAACAACAAACATGGAAGAATCCGATGAGAGCGCATCGCTTGGAGTGATGGAGTTTCATTTTAAAAAACTGCCTGATGGAAGCCTTGACCGTGGTTTTGTGCAACTTGTGCAACAAAGAATTTGCATCGAAGCCAGCAAACAAAACAAAACTGAACTCTTTAGCCAAACTTAAATCTAATAGAAACATCCACACAGAGCAAAAGAAACTAAAACAAACTGGTGCCTCAAAACACAAAAATACAAAAACACAAGACACGAGTAACTTCTTCACTACGTTACGCAGCTGCTAACAGGAGTTGGTCTTGACTAAGGCCTTATCCACGCGTAGCAGGGCTTTTCTAAAACCAAATATCCTGCCCCTTTCGTCTAGAAAAACACTTACACCACCTCGTTTATAGAAAAGAATTCATCCACACCTAACTGCATTAGTGCGTTCTTAAGCACATTCATATTCTATGTGAGGATGTAAGAACTACGATGACAGGAGCGACGACCGGGACATACGGAAATTGTCACGCCATTCCTCTGGGAGCATGATTTTCATCTCAAAGTTCTCCCACCAGCTGGCAGTGCGTCCCGGTCTGACCCAAAACCGGCGTCGGTGTCTGTGACGGAGAACATGCCTCGGACGTGGAATGGCAAGGTGGCAGAAAACAACCGTCCTTAACGCCGTCCTTCACCTGTGTTCTTGTACTTGGAGCCGTATCTGGGCCTGGACCAGAGACAACGCCAACACAGTTCTGAGGGAGTCCACGCTGTTTCCAAATGTAAACACAGGTCGCATATGTGATGTAAGGAACATAGTTTGTTGCAGGCAGTGAGGTTTCGAAACCTGAAACCCCGGTTATTGACGTCCACATGCATCAATGAAGGATTCGCAAATCTTCACTTTGGTCAGAGGTTTTTGAAAGAATCATTTTTTTAATGCCGTAAATTTGCGTTTTCGTGTGGATGACAGGCCACATCATAGAAACATAGCTTTGTTTTGAGAGACACCCTGCTACGTGTGGACGAGGCCTGAGACTCTCACGAAACTCTCACACCGAGTTAGCAGCTGCCAACAGAAGTTACAGGACGGACTGTTCAGTCCCAGCCAGCCCCAACTGAAAGGCTGCTGGTTGGTTTTATAGCCAGGTGTGGTGATTGCTGAGATGGAGGATGAGTGGTGGTGGTCCAATCAGGTGTAACTGGAGGCGGGAAGAACAAGGCCGAGAGTAGGTCGGGATCTCCAGGGCAATCGTCGCTGATGTCTGGCAGGTGTGGTTCTGGAGCACCGTCTCCAGCTGGGCCTTCACAGACCATCTTCCCACACAATGATCACAAGTCCACCACATACGGCGGCACAAACACCCTGGACCATAACACATGGCCATGAGTTATGAATTTGTCATTTACTATGTTTGATTTAAAGCCTTTTCAGAAGCCCAAAGATGCCCAAATAAAGATTTTTTTGTTTGTTTTTACAAGATGAGCCTTTAAAAGAATTATTCTCTTACTTCCCATCCAAATTAAAATCCTGTAACCTTTTGTGGGGTTTTAGTCTGACTGCCCTACACGTTGTCTGCCTGTAACTCCTAGTGACATCCTCTACAAACAGCAATATTTGGTTATACAAATGAACCTGACTTTTTCCTTTTTTCTGCCCAACAACTGACTCATTATTATTTTCATCTGACCAGAGTCGATGTGTGTGTTCCTTTCATCAACAAGGAAGGGAAGCGAGAAAAGAGCACTGACAGGTGGGTGAAATATACTAAATAATCTTTCTTTCTCAGACTGTCACATTTATAAATGCTCCCAAGAAGAATTATGTGGGAGTGAAATTTTTAATTTTTTTTAAAAAAGCCACATAATACTTGTTGCTTTATGTCGAACACCTGTGGAGTTGAATGCAATCCACCAGCTCTGCCATGAATTCTACTTTATTTCTACTTTTACAGTTTTTGTTGTCAGTAAAGGTAATAATTCTACTTGTTGTGATTATTATTATTTCCATCGTGGGTGTTGGTGGACTGCTTTACATTTGAAGACCCACTCATGCATGTCAGATTTCCATAACGGTCAAAGCGAGTTTATTTTTAGAGCTCGTTTCTTACATCCAACCTGAATTAGCACATTTTTTAGAACAACTTTTGCTCGACCAGATCTGGTTGGCCTCAAATGTTTATAGCATAATATATAGAAAATATAGAAATAGCTCAAATAAAAAAAAGTAACTAAAAAATAAAAATAACTGTAATAGTGCAAAGCAGAACCAAAAAAAAGCAAACTTCTAAAATTATTTGTGAATTTTTTAATTATTATATCAAATACTTTCTTAAAAAAACAAACAAACAAAAAAACCTGCAAGTCGACCCACTGTCAGCACATTTTTCTCTTTGATTCAGAATCCGGACAAGTAGATCAAACAGCCTCTGAAATATAAATATATATTTTTAAATGAAACTGTCATTAAAAATCCAATCTTTGAGGATTAATAAAAAAAAATAAAACACAAAACAAAACAGATGGAATATTTTTGAACATGAAAAGCACGATCACAAAAATGAAAAAAAGAAGTTATTTTTTCGTTTAACTATTATAACTGATTGAACAGTTGTGACAAGTTGTACCACAAAAACAAAAACATTCGTAGATAGTCGGATCCAAGTAGAACACAGCTTCAGAGGAGTTCCTCCTAATATAACAAAGAAAATATGTTTTCTAATATTTTTCATTTTAAACCTTGGTTTGGAGGAGACTTGTGATGTAGTTCTGTGTAATTTCTTGGGCAGTCATTATTGTTATAATAAAACCGTGACCAATCACGCAGCTCTTTTGGGACAGGGGGATTTTTCTGCCTTTTCCTGTCTTGACGTATATAATATATCATGTGTATAATTGGAATCTCATATGACTTTAGTGGTAAATGTATTCTCATGATCATTGTGGAAACTGCTGATGGAGTCAACATGGATTTTCATGCTTTATGTTCCAGCGGGAATAAACTTGGCACAAGCTGGACTCAGAACATTAAAGTGTTGACTCATGTATGTTTCCAGGAGCAGCTAAAGAGTTTATCTTCAAGCATCACTAGCAAAAAGTTTATGAATTCAGCAGGTATAATATGTAAAGTTGCCTACAAAGTTGGGTCTAAAAGTGGAAAATATGTCTGATGATTTGACTTAGAATTGAGTTGGAGGCAATTTAAAGTGCTTGACATGTTTAAAAATAAAGAAAATTTGTAAAGAATAGAACAAAATAGCCTCCTATTAAAGAAGGAAAGAAACCGCTGTCACTGAAATAAGTTGAAATTGACAAAAGTAATAATAAATTAAAAATTTATGAAAATCATGGCGTTGCTTTTGAATTGTGGTTCAACAGAATTTTATTTTTTTTAAACAAACATGCATGATGGGACCCGTAAACTAATATTTAGTTGAACAACTCTTTGAGCCAATCACTGCCATCATCAGGTGTTTTCTGTAACTCTCAGTCAGACTTCTGCATCTGTTGACAGGTGTTTGGATTTCACTGCTCATCAGCAAAGTGCTCTAATTTGTCAGTTTTATTTTTGTTTTTTAAATTATTCTTATCAACCAAAATTTATAAGCAATGTCTTTTTTTCACTAAATTATAATTTAGCAAATTTTTATTTATTATTACTTTTTCCAGTTTCTTGTTATTTGAGTGACTATTGTGAATTTTGCCTTTTCTTTAATGGAAGGATATGAATAGATTTCAGGACGACCGTGAATCAGAATCAGTGGGGAGAAGAACATTAATTTGCTTGTTTAAAGAAACGCCTTCATAAACATAAACGAACATAATTATCACATTATTTTGACGTTGTCTTGGATTTCAGTGGTTCTGATGAAGTGAGTCTCTGTCGCTCTGCTGCCACCTGCTGCTCAAAACGTGCAAATGCAGAGAGAGAAAAAACACGCTGCTGACATCCTATTGGTTGATTACATGTGACGTCACTTGGCAAACGAGGAAGTGAACGCGATTGACGTTTTTGTTTTCGATTTGTGACCAAACCTGACATGTGTGAACGGTTTGTTTAAAGCTGGTGAGTTTACTTTCTCTTCTCTGTCCTTTTAAGTCATTACAAAATAACAAGACGGCTTTAAATAAGCACTGCAGCTTAGTTTACTTTGTTTTGTTTCTCTGCTCAGACACAGAAATGAGTGACATCCCTGTAAACCCTCTGGTTCTGCTCGGTGTCGGCTCCAGCTTCGCCTTCTCCGGCCTGTTTTATCATTTGTACCAGGAGAAGAAGGAAGAGTTAAAAAAGCTGAAGGCAAGTACATCGGTTATGGAAACTTTCTGTGTGGGTTTTGGGACCATTTAACAGGTGCAGGTGTCACAACCAGTCCAGATGTTTTTGAGCTTTAACCCTCCTATTATATTTAACATCTCCAAATAAGTCATTGACATAATTCTTTCAGGTTTATTTAAAGGGCTATTTACACATAAACTTGAGTAACAGTTTAAATTATGGTCCAATTAAAACCAAGGATAAAAGATGTCAGTAAATTAGAAGGTAGTAGGAGGGTTAAAGGACCAGTTCAACTCATATAATGTAGTTTCCACCTGCCACTGAAATATTCATGCATTCAAATGACCTGGATTCATTCATGAGGGTGATACAACCTGAGAACTCATACAACAATTAGAAAATCTTTATCTGATGTATACACACTCATCCATAAATCATGTTAAATACAACGTAAACAAGAACATCAGACATACCAAACACACACAGCCTGAACATGCTATGAGATAATATGAGTTACTGTATTGTTATTCCTGTGAATCCACTGACAGGTATTCTCAGTTTGCAATATGTCACATGTACTCTGGTGTAATCTACCACAAGCATCATGTAAAAACATGCAGAACAATCTAAAGGTTGACTCATCCTGAGATCAGTTCAGTCTTTTTTGCTTCCAGCGGTGTGTACAGGTTTTATCTTCTCACTCAGCTACATTGCAGACGAGGCCTTCATGTATCCAGAATATCAACAAAGTTTGAATGATTTCATTAATTGAAACTGTTTTCCTCCTGTTTAGGAAATACCCATTTTCAAACCAGATCTGCATTTGGTTAAAGTCCTGAAAGCATCTCCCCACCGGCGCCTCCAGTATGTCGCTGTTGAAGGTACAGGCATGACAACACATTTAGGATTTGACTAAAGGGGATCATTTACAGAAGCCTGACAGTTTCCTGTGCATGTTTGTAGGTCTGGTCCAGGCGGACGGGGAGCCTCTGGCCAGCCGGTTTGTCCCGCGATCCTTCGGTGTGATTCAGAAGATAGCAGTGGAGGAACACTGGAAGTTTTGGAACTCTCTCACCAAGACGTGGTACATCCAACTGAAGAACGCACAAAAACATGCCTATTTACGAATCTACTAGTCGATTAAGATCTGTTCTTCTTCCAGGAACTCCCGGACGATGAACAGGAAAGAGACGAGCAACTCCGTGCCCTTCAGTCTGGTCAGCCCCGGAGCCTACATCACTGACTTATACGTGAAGGTGCAGAACCCTCTGGAGGCCTCGGGCTCCTACCTGGAGAGGGTTCACCACAAAGTACGACAGGCCGAGGAGGGACTGGTGAACACGGTGCTGCAAGGCGTGAGCGGAGAGAAACCCGTGGCGATGGTGGAGAGCGAGGAGCTGCTGCGAGTAGGAAGCATCCTGACCGGGTTTGGGGAGGTGGTGCTAGAGGGAGGCGAGGTGATGAGGCTTCAGGCCCCGCAGGACGGCCGATTGTACGTCCTGGTGCCCGGCAACCACCGGAGCTTCATGGACCGACACGAGGCAACAGCCAGCATGTGGAAGAAGCTGTCAGCTGTTACTGGCCTCACGGGAGCTGCTGTTGTCGCCGGTGTCATTTACAACTTAGTGGGGAAACAGGACGACAGATCCAGGTAGAGGCGGGAGGCGGATCACGCAGGTTTAAAGCCATTTCGGTGACCTAACACAGCCTCAGGAGATTCTATAGCACAGTCTTAATGCCAACGTAATTCATTAACATGTTTTGATTTGCGTCTCACCAAAGTGCATCTGAGTTTTTTTCACAATGGACACGAGGAAGTGAAAACACAAATTTACAAATTAGAAAACACATTAACGTTTAAGAACACATTAAAAACAGAAAAGGCAAAGACACCGATTTAAAAACAAAATAACCAAAAAGACTTTTCTGAGAACACATGAGCAAACGAGGCTCAAACATGCCATCAGATTAGAAAAAACAAATCAGGAACTAAATCACTGACAAATATTCCAAACTGCTGCTTTCTGAAATGTGAAATCTTTCAGTGTATTTTGTCCCTCTGGGCTGCTGTACTTGAACCTAAAACATTTGTAACTGCTTGTCAGAAACTTCACGAGTGTTTCTCATTACAGTCGGTCAGCTTAGTTTGATAAAAACAATCAATTAGACGGTCTGAGTGCAGTCTGCTTCGAGAGGCTTTAATTTCGATTAAATCCACACTGCTCCAACTTGAGAATACAAATCAGATCATGTAGCTTCTATACAGTCACTATATAATCCCTTCTTTCAATCCGTGCGCCTTAAACATCCTGAGAAGTGTGACTTTTCATGCAGAATGTTTGACACTATGAAAAAAAAACATTCAGGACTGCTTTATCAAGGGAACATGTTATTTTTGTAATGTGGTTGTATATTTTCTTAATTGTGAAGTTTGGGGCGTGCTCACACCTCCCGCTGAGCTTTTATTCTGATAATCTTATCTTTTGCTGACTTTGACTGTGAATCTGATCGAGGAAATGACAGAAATGTTGTGTCTGTGAATGTTTCCAGTTATGACATGGATCAATATGTATCTGAAAAGACTGTACACAATCATGTACCTTTGAAAGGTGGTGGTGTTAGAATTAATAAAAGCAGCAGTTTCACCTTCATACATGTTCTTGTTATTGACAAAAAAAAAAAAGCAAGCCAGATACAGATGCTTCAATCCAAGCAGACTGAGGGTCTTTCTTCTTTATTTGGATGTTCACAGCACACACGCTATGAGAAAAATCCATGTCAGCTTTGACTGTACAGAGCAGATCCTGGTGCTTAGTGGAGGCAGAAAGCTGCAGCAGAGAATAAAAACAACAACCTAAATTCTTTTAGTCACACAACAGCTTAAAAGTCGACTTTGTCCATGCTTAAGCTGAGTCAGATTCATTCTCCGTCCTCCTCTGAAGACTCCTCAGCTTCTTGCAACCACTGGATGAACTTCTGGAGCTGTTGGATTGAACAAAATAATAATTCTGCATTAGTGAGGAGGCAGGAGATGCAGGCATTTGTAAATGAACAACTGCAGGTGAATTTAAAAGTTGACAAACGCTCACTGACTTTATGTAGCATTTGAGAGTGTGACACTGCAAACCTTTGTGTTTGGTTTCCTCAAACACACAGCTGCAGTTAATCTGGGTCACTGTGTCACTCAGGTGTTAAAATGATGCTGTTTAGTTTTATAATTAGACACATGAAAAAGCCACTAAATTAGGGACCCTATTGATAGTGTCTTCTTTTAAGTACGACAAATACACACATACAGTGAGCTACTTTCGTTACTTGAGAACCTCAGTCGAAAATGCAAATTACAAAAAAATTGAGGAAGCATGGCACCCTGGTTCAGAATGAGCCTTTGGGGATGTAAGCACGATCAAAGGCAATGAGTCTGTGTTATCTTAGAAATCTATACATTAACTGTTTTTGAAGACCAGTCGACAAGCAAAAATGTGTATTATGTGTGAGCAGATAAAACCCAAATTAACAGCTCTGGCTAAAAACATGTTTGTTTTTAAAAAAAATATTAATTCATGTTTTGGCATTTGTGCCAAAACTTCTTCCATGCATGACAAACGCTGTGTATTGAATCAGACAGATGTCACTCAGCACTCCTGGGTATAGCAATATTTTGTACTTCTTCCATTTTGTCTTATTTATCACCGTCATTATCTACATCTGACTTTACATTTTTTTTCCTGATCCATTTTTTTTATATCAGTATTTTCCATCTAAATAATCTCTGCATAATAGACACAATCTGAAAAAGAAAAAACAGTACCTACGTTTATTTCTTGTTTATTTTCTACTGATGTTCCCTACATTTTTGCACTATCCTCTCTGCTGCTGGCTTATGTTATCTTTCTTAAACTGCTGTATTTTAAAATAAACACGGGTCAATGACATGTGTCCTTTCCATCCGTTACAACACAGACGACACTCATCCATCCTCGCCAATGTCTACTGCACTGATGTTCATCGTGTGGACAGGAAAGTAGGACCACATATAGTCTGATAACCTCCCAGATTTTTCAGGAAAGTTTGAAAGCTGCTATGAACTAACATGCCGTGAACTCTGCCTGTACCTCAGGGCTAAGTGAAGCCCGCGCACTGGGATCAGCTGGATCATCCAAACTTTAAATCTGAACCACATAGCTGCATCCTGTGTGCTGTTCCTCATACGGTACCTACCCCCTGGTTCTTGCGGAGCTGTTTGCTTTTGTCTGTGGTGGCTCCCTGAGAGAACCATCGCAGTATCATTTCCTCCTCCAGGATCTCCAGCTGGTACATGTTCATCAGGACCTGAGTTACAAACAGAGCAGCTTAACCGCTTGCAAACAGCAGCCAGGCTAAATGAACACATGCTAAACTCCAGGATCTTCCGGGTTCACTTTTACAGCCCACTTTGGGGCGTTTTACCAGACTGCTGAGTGTGTGTGGTAGTTGACTGATCCTGACCTTCACCATTGCAGCCCAGTGACTCTCCTGCTCCAGAAAGTGTTCCTCAAAGGCAGACAGGCAGTCTAGATGGTCCTGTGCTCGCTTCACATAGTTCTTAAACACCGGAGCCCATTTCTTCAGTAACTGAGCGCAGGACAAACAAGATGCATGAGAAAACGAAATATTAGGATATTTGTTTTCTCTGCCTTGTCTTTGTCAAGTCTACAGTAACAGAAATGGGCTGCAAGGATAAAAAGAATCTATGTTACGCATGCTGTGTTACGTTATTCACCGGCAGGAGCAGAGCGACGTATTGTGACGCGGTCAGATTCGGGCCCTGCTGCTGGAACGGGTACTCCAGCACCACTCTGGTTAAAATCTGCATCACCTCCTTCAGAGTGATGTTGTAGGCGTACCTGGAGAAACAACAGCGTGTCAGACGAGACAACAATCACTGCAAAGAGGAGCAAACAGGACTGGGAGCGAGTTCCTCCTTACTTCAGAGAGTTGATCTCCAGTACGAGATTGTCAAAGCCGATGTTCTCCTCCAAACCTCTCTGCAGAGTCCCGAGCACCTCCATCTGGAAAACTGTCCAATAAAGCAATAAATCACACATCAACCAAAAGTTCATACCTTCATAAATGGACAAAACAAGCAACACTTTCAGCTCAGGGAAACTCAGTTATTAGATACTGAAATTAACCGAAAAGAATCCCATGAGAAGATGTAAAAACTGATCACTGGATTTGGAGCTTTGTCTCTTTGGCCAGTAGGGGGCAGTTATACAGCTACACATGCAGGTAAAATTAGTCTCGCTCAACTCTTTCAGTAATAGTCTGGCTGCACCTCACTATCATTCAGTGAAAGGAGGAGGAAAAACACTCCAGCTTGTTTGTAGTTCTTAAACCAATCACAGCTGTTGTCTGCGGGGTCGAGCTGCAGCTTCGCTATTTACTCAAAGAAATGAATGGTTGAATTGTTTTGGTGGAACATGTGCAGCAAAGAGACAAACACTGTCATTAAAATAGATAATCTGCTGAAAAACAAAAGCAGAGCTGCTTCACTGCACAATAGAAATTCTCCACAATATTTGAATTTTCAGTGCTGTAGGCTGCTGCCCAGAAGTGGTGGCGTTTTTTTTCTCGTAGCGTGTGAAACATGCAGATAGCAGAAGTGTGAGAATGCCAGCTGAAGTGAGCGGTGGTTTACACCCACATTACACATCCAGTGACTCAGACCACGTCTACACATAGGCCGGGTGTTTACAAAAACGGATCTACGTTTACCAGATAGTTTTCAAAAAAATCTAGTTTACACAAATCCGCATAAACACTAAGAGCTGCTATGAGCATGACAAACCTATAGGGGACAGTGTAACAAGAAGCAGCAAGCCATGCTAGCCAATCCGAATCCCAGAAAAAACACAACAATGAATGGCACAAATTACATCCTGTTACTTCAACGATGATGGCGCGAGGGTGGTTTGTTTGGACCGACAGAGAAGCTCCTCCACATCATATAACACGGCTGAATGTAAATGCAAACAGACCTAAAGTGTTTGCACAAATGTAAAAACAAGCACTGCTTCAACAGCATTCCTTTCTATCACAGTAGCCAAACTGTAAACATGGTCGCACACATATGATGCTGATGACACTTTTGTCGCATTCTGTGACGTCAAACTCCGTCTCCTCCTGTCTACATGCAAACGTAAAGAGTTTTTCCAAATCTCCACTTTGGCCGGAGTTTGCAGATGTGATCGTTTGTGGTGACTCGTAGCTTCGTTTACGTGTAAACCAAAGGCCCAAACACATTGAAATATCACCGTTTTTGCTACGTGTAAACGGGGCCTCAGACCGAGGTAAAACAACAATCTGAGTTCTCTCACCTTTGACATCGTCCATCTCAGGGGAGGGAATCACTGGATCGTCGGGACCGTCAGGCTCACTGTCCTCGCTGTCACTCTCAGGATCTGGATTCAACACCAAACCTGGTGAACATGAAAACACCCTGCTGGAACGTCGACTACAACATCGTGGGAGGTGACAGTTTTACTGACTTGTTGACAAACTTCAGAAGCAGCCGACTGCCGTCGTACCCCAGAGACAATGCGACAGCTCCTCGTCCTCCGTGTCGTCCAGGCTGCTGGCTTTCCAGATGTAGCCTTTTCCCTCTGCACCAACTTCTGAAGGGTTAAAAACTGGACGACAGAAGAAAATACAGTATGAATCACTGACTGGAGCACACGAGCAGCAGTTTGACAGCACATGAAGTACAGAGTTAATACTCACCTTTCTGTTTGGTTTTGTCTTTGCTTTGACCGACCTCGGCATCGTCACTGAGGAATTCGTCATCATCTTCCTCCTCCTCCTCTGGATGGTGCATGGACACCACAGTGCCTTCTGGTAGAGACACGTTTGGTCCAATCACCACCTGGAAAACAGTTCACAGGCAAAGTAAAACCTGCAGCTTCATCCCCAGTATGTCTGTGGCCAATGTTCAAGAGCACAAGGGGCATATTCACACAGTATTTCATCACTTCAGTGTTTTTATGAACAGTTTTGGCTAATCTTTGTCACTGATTTCACACATGAAATAAAGTAAAATGCTTTGTGTACAAGGCACAAGTGTCCCATGTGTGTCATCAACCATAACAATGGCTATAAAACTCATGTATTCATTGATAACAGTTGGTAATCTTTTAATTGCAATACAATAAACTGTTAACTGGCAAACTGGCATCCTCACGCTGATATAAAGACAAGAAGTAGTCCAGCTTTTCACTGACTGCTGGTTTCATATGAAGAAAATCCAGTGTGTGATGTCAGCACTGTACAATTATCAAAACAATTCACGATGACGCTATTATCGCAATAGCTGTAGAAAATCTTTAAAATATATGATGTTGTTATTAAGATTCATCGTTAACTTTGTTTATCATGTGTTTTGGTTCTTCTCTGGCAAATAAATCATACTTAATATGCAGATGTAGGGAGATGGAGAGAGATCCAGTAACCAATAGTGTCCTGTGTGTTTTTCTTTTGTTGGAGCGTCAACCAGATAATCAGTAGTGTTTAATTTTTTTTTTTACAGTGGAACAATTTGTATATTATTGACTTCAAATATCAGATTTTTTATTTTTTTTGGTAAAAGAAAACTTAAAATTCTTGCCGAGAAAAC